CAAACCTTTTGAAACTAAGATCGGGTGACTGATACGATCACATACTGATCATGCAACCACCCATACTCCTTTCTCGGCCAGCTTTCTTTAGGGGTCATTAGTGTCAGGTAAAATTCTCCTCCTGCATATGGACACTCCAACTGTTTTTCTCTGAAAAATGACATAGACATACCAGACTCCGAAGTAAGTCTACCAACATACCTAATAAGTCTACTATATAAAACAAATAGGTCTACCAAATCAAACAAGTAAGTCTACCATGGAAATTTAAAACTGACTTACGCTTCAAAAGCTACGTAGCGGGTTAGATTATCCAGTATTCGACTGTCCACCGCTTCAAAAGGATCATACCTCCCAGGAGGGGGACCTGCTGGGTCCATGATGCGTCTCACCACTGAGTTACCAAGGTAGGGTGAAACCTGGGTCGGTGCAAGGCTGCGTCCCCTTTTTTCCTTCTCAGCAGGTGGATTTTTTGCATGTTCCACCAGCTTTTCTAAGCGTTTCTTCATAGCTTCAATCGCTGAGTCGTCTTCGTCTAGCAGGGAAGGGATCTGTACTCGTCTAGACTGTAGTGGGCGTGAAACGTCGCTTATATTGATTATCTGGCTTTCTTCGTTTTTGTCTTTTAAATCAGCTTTTGACTTTGTGCCCGATTTATTCTTCTCTTTAGGATCAGCAGGTTCTTTTTTCACTTTGGTTACAGTCTTTCCTCTCGACGCTGGGGTTCTAACAACTCTTGCAACAGGAAAACCTGGCTCTGATGTTTCCTGCATCTCCATCATCCACGACTGCTTGGCATGTATAGTAATATCACATCAGTCAAACCAAATAATAACATAACTAAATCTACCTAAAAATCTACCGAATTAATTATAAATCTACCTAATATAAATATCACTGCCATAAATCTACCACATAAAGTTAGTCTTGTATTCCAAGAAAACATTAAAAGTCTACTATGCAGGAAAAGTTTTAAAAAAATCATCAATACAAGTCTACAAAAGTAAAAAAGTATTTCGTACAAATCTACCATAAAGGAAAGGAAAACGATCTGTTTAAACATAGTTGAATGTTGTCTCCATGACATTAGAAGAGAGACTTGCGTACCGGATCCTTTTCCACAGCTCCCGTTCCCGTTCCTGCTCCACCTCCCGTTGACGTTCCTGCTACTGGCGCTGCTGCTGGAGGAGATGCCTTTGCTCTAGGGGTTTTCGGTGAGGTTTTGGATTCTGCATCACCGGCATTATCATCATTGTTACCATGGTCGTTGTCAACATTGTTCCCAGAATTCGCCATGGCCTCCTCTTTCTCTTCATGTTTATCCTCGATAACGGCAATCCTCTTATCCAGGTGGTCTATACGAATTACAGCACTGCTGACATTGTTGTTTAGCAATGCTACCGTCGTTGATAAACCATTGATTGCCATGAGGATCTCATTCGTCCTATCCTCCTTCTCCACAGCGGGCTCTTTCTTCTTGCTCTCGTTCTCTCTTT